AGCGGCGCGGGGCGTGGCGTGTCGCGGTGCGCTTGGCTTCTCGTTAGCATGGCGGTGTCAAGGTCGACCGCCCCCTCCGCCCCCCTCCCTCCTCATTCGTTCCCTTCCTGCCTTTTTCTCCCCACCGTAATCTGTATTATCGCCCCCTCACCCCCACCGACTCCACCCCCTGCCCCTACCTTGGCTGTCACATATGGCCAACCCCCGCCCCCTCTCTGACGGATCCCCCGCCGTTCTGCCTCGCTGCCCTTTGACGTTTGTTTCTCTCAGGCGAGCGCGCTCCGGGCCGCGCTTCTGCTGGTCGCGGGGACTGACAGGGGCAGCTCGGCGCGCGCCTCGGCGTGCGCACTGCGCCGCTGTGCATGTTTGTTGATGTGGCCCCCGCAGCCCCGCAGTTAAATGCGGGTAGTTAACCCGGGGGGCGCGCGCCGCACGCCAACCGCGGCGCGGGGAAGGACCGGAGGAGGAAACGAAATGTGGGGCGCGATAAAAGCGGCGGCCGGCGGGGCCTGGCCTTGCAAGGGGTCGCTCTGGCGGTGGGGGTGGTGCGGTGCGGGGTTGGCGCCCATGTCGGGGAGTTGGACTCGTCGTCTGCGGCGTCCATAGGCTCGCCGCCGAGTGACAGCGGCCCGCGCCTCGGCGGCGGCGGGGCCTTCCCTTTGTGTCCACGTGCCCGCCCCCCTCCGCCGCGCCTCTGTGGCGCCACAGTCTACTTGCTCCCCTCCCCCTCGTCCAGGCGGGGCGGCATGTCCGGGGACGCCTCGGGCCGCCACTACGCTCGGCAGCTAGCGTCGCGGCGCCGTGTGGCGGGCGGTGGCGCCTGTCCGTCCCTTCCTTTCTCCCCCCGCCCCTTCCCCACCCCTCTTTCTCCGCCCCGGAAAGGCGTCTGTTTCTGTCGAACCCGCACTAACTCACGCCTGGGGTTCGAGCAGGGTGGCGCGGCGGGGTGGGCTGGCTTGCACGCCGCACGCGCCCCTGGGCTGCGGGTGTCCTTGTGCCTCACCTCACACCTCTGGGGAGGGGGTGCAAGCGCACAGCCCTCACGGCACGGTGCCTGATCGGCCTCTCTTCTCGCAGTCCCAAGTAGGTCAGATCTCGCCCCCTCCCCCTCCTCTAGGATATCGACCACACCGGGGACCCTGGCTGTCCCGTCCCTGCCGAACTCCTCCCCCCGACCCCCCTTCTTTGGGAGCTGAGCTGGGTACAGACGCACTATGGTTCTGTCCTGCTGGCGAGGGGTAAAAGTGTATACGGAAGGGGGCAGGGCGCGGGCTCTGCCTGCAGCTTGCATGGCAACAGATGCCGCCCCCGGCCAGCCGCAGTGCCAGCGCCACCCCCAGAGCCCCCGACCCCGCCCGGGCCGCCCGCTCAGCCGCCCCCACGCGCCGCCCCCTGCAGCGGCCCCCTCGGCTCCGGTTGACCCGCCTTGGCGTTGCTTTGTCCGGCCCGGCCCGGCGTTGCCCGTTCCGATGCGGGGGCGCCCCCTTCCCCTCGCTCCTACTTTTTTTTTTTTGAGCTCCGGGGGCCTAAATGGGATGTGACTTGCACTTCGCGGCGGACAGCTCCGTCTGACCGACCCGTCCGTCCCGTCCGGACGCACAACCTCTCCTGCTTCGGCGCTGTTGGCTGTCCTGCTGGCCTCGCCACGGCTGATGATTTCGGGACGGACGCGCTCCCCCACTCCCCGCCCGTTTTGCAGCTTCAGTCTTTGTTGTCCGTCCCGATTCCCTAAGTATGTCCTCGCGGTGCGCCCCCCCCCCCCCCGGGGCCCCGGGATGTTCCCGCGCGCGCCGAGGGGGTGGCCCTGGGGGTGGCCTTGGCCGGAGGGGGTTGGGTAGGACGCACGGGGGCTGGCTTGTTGTTGCTCGCGCGGTGTAGCGTAGCGTTGCGCTGCGGGCGGTATACGTGCTCTCCCAGGACAAAGGAAAGGCGCTCTAATATATTTCCCTTTGACCCACATTTACGAATGCACTTCATCATTTAAAACTTGTTATTAGGCCCCAGTAGTAGTCCGTTCTATATCTATATCGTATATGTCAAGCGGTGGAGGGGGGGGGGGTGCTTTTCTGAAGGACTTCCGCTGTCCTTCCCCTTTGGTACCGTTCGGTTCAGGTCGCACAGGTTAGCCGCCTGGGCGGGGCGTGGCGGCCACGAAACCCTATCCAGTCCCTCGTGACACTCGAGTAGAGCCTAGCTGGGCGAGGTGGGGCGGGGCGTGGACATGCCGCCGGGCGCGACCGGCTACTTATACGTGTGGCTCTAATGGACCACGGAGACAATTCACAGGCGAGGTTGGTGGTCGCATAGAGAGAGGGAGAGGGAGGGGGGGGGGCGCTCTGTCATGCGATTCCTCAATTTGACCACAATTCTAACTTGGTAGCCGAAGAGAATGAGTGAAAGTGCCGCGGATAGTTCTGTGCTCCGTATTGGTTGTTTCCCGCTGTGTAGCTCTGCGCCCGGCGGCGGCAGCGGGCGGCACCTTCCCATAGACTAACCCTAATGAGTCGGGACTGTCTTGTCTCGCTAACGGGACGCGGCCCGCCTTACGGGGGAGAAGAGGCCGAGCGAGGGTCTTGAAAGTCCGAATCGGCCGGCTCGCTGCTGCACCGAGACGGAAGTCGTGTGGCTAGCATGATGAGCCTTTATTTGGGTCACTCCCTCGGATTCGTTGAACGGTTTGGTTTGGTTGGCTCACGCGCACGCGGCTTATCGAGTTACGCAACAAACGCACCCCTGTGGGGGTTGCCGCCCTGCGACCGGCCTCCTCGGGGGGCCCCGGCCACGGGTCAGGCGGGCGCGCGCGGCGCCATGTGGGTCAAGGAAGCCGCACTAGCGGGCCCCGTGGTGGGCGCCGCGCGTGTTCACGCTGGAGAACGCTGCTGCTGTGGTGTGGCACCTGTTTGTCGCCCGCGCGTCCTCCCGGCCCGGCTCGGCCCGCGGCACGAGACCCGCCAGACCCTCGCCATTTCAGTGTGTGTGTGTGTGTCATTGGCGGCTTCCGCCAACTGGATGCGCCCGCGGCGAGGCGTGGCGGAGCGAGTGAAGTGGCGGAGATGACCCGGCCCCGCTGCTGTGCCGCTGCTGTGCCGCTGGGCCACAAGGTTGCGGCGGGAGTGCGGGAGCCCCCGCCGCGCCGCGAGGCCCGCGGTATGGATGGAGGCGCCTGCAAGCCACTGGCGCTGGTGGCAAGCAGGCGCCGCCCGTCAGCACGCGTCGCGTCAACGCGTCAGCTGCAGCCGCGGCAGCGCGACGCCTAGCTTTGCCGTTTTCCTGCGCAGTCGTCGTGATTTCCCGTCGCGCTGCTGCTGCTGCTGCCGGGCGACACCTCGGCCGGGACAATCGGTGCAATCTTCTCCCCGCCTGCGATAGCTTTCCTCGCTAATCGCAGCGACGCCCTGGGCGCGGCCCGCCTTTCGCGATGAGTAACACCGCGATGTACTGAGGCCCCTAGGGGCTCACACGACCCGGAGTGGCCCCGCTGCCGCCCGTTGGACTCGGCGGACTCGCACTCGACGGCGGCGAGGTGGAGCAGCGCAGGCGCGCGAGGTGGTGCCATGGTGCCGGCCGCCCCGCTCGCTATTGCTGTCGATGAGTCAGCGGCCCCCGGCTCCCAGTGCCACGGCGGCCACGGCCCGTCCGACTGGTTTGTCTCGGCCCCAATCCGGCACCATGCCCGCCCGGCCGTACGGCACGGCCTCTTCTGCCCGCGGCGCGACTCGCATTCTTCTTATCAATTGATATTATTGTTGGCGGTGGATTCGTGTTCGCCCGCGGGGCCCGCTGGCTGCGGTCAGCCCCCCCCCCCCAAATCTCACCGTGAGGCTGGTAGAAGTGGCGGTGACCATGTTGTGTTGAGGGCGCGACGACTCCCCGCCCAGCCCGGCCCCGCCCGGCCCGGCCCCGCGCTGCCGACGCACGTGCCGTCGCCTTTCTCCGATGTGAATCTGACGCCCTCCCCGGCGCGAGCTAACCACTCACCGCGAGATTCGCTGATGTACGGGCCGCCGCTCAGGTTTCAACTCCAGGCGGCCACCGGGCCCTGCCACGCGAGCCGGCGACTCTCTAGATAAGTGCCGCAGTGCCTCTTCTTACCGCTGCCAAACGCACGGTAATCACGGTTTTGCGCAGACTATTCTTTTGCCGACGAGATATCTCGCCATATTCTCGCGGTGGCAATAGTGTTCGTCTTCGATATCGTCAATGTCGGGCGCGGCCCAGTGGCAGCAGCGGACCGGTCGGTCCCCGATCATGGACGAGATGGGATGGACATCGGCGCGGCGACGACGTCGGCCGGGCGGTGCGGGGTGAGGCGGCGGGGCGGCGGAGCGGGGCCCACGCACCGCGAGGATGTCAATAACCCTGGCCCGCCCCGCCCGGTCGGTATTTAATGTCACACCTCGGGCGCGCCCACGGTGGCGTGCGCCCACCTCATCTCCTACTTCCCTTTTGCCTCGGTCCTTCCCTTCCCTTCGCCCTGTCCCTCGCCTCCTCCCCTCTCCTGCCCCTCTCCTCCCGGCCCTGTTCTTGCAGATTGACAAACGGCTGATGCAGTCTAGTATCCTCGCAGCTCGTTGATTTGGTGTTATTTGAACTATCAAGACCCAGTTTGATTTTTTGGTTTCGTATGTGCGTTCGCAGTTTTTTTCTTTTTTTTTTCGACGGTGTCGCTCACCTTTGGGCCGCCGGCTCGGCTCGCACACGACGCTGCTCTGCTCGGCGGCCCGTCTCGAGTCGCTCGGTCCTCGTAAAAGCGTGCAAGCACTTGGCTTGCTTGCGCTTTTTAATAGCGCCTCGGCTGATGGGAGCCCCGCTGCGCCCGACCTGGATGGCTTGGTGGTTTCATAAGCGATCCCTCGCCAAACACTCACACACTCTCTCGACTCTGTCTTGGTCTTCAGGAGGAGGGGGGGTCCCTCGCTGTATGCTGTACTACTTGCCCGCGTGGTCCAAGCTATTGACGTTAGTACTAACGCTCGTGTTTTTTTCTGTTTGGGTTGCAGGTAGGTGAAGACGGTGGATGGAGCGAGTGTGGTGCGGTAAGACCCTGGACAGACAGGGGAGAGGCAAGAGAAGGCAGTAAACTTAACGTTAAGACGGTACAGTTCCGGCAACAAAGTTATCTGCTCATACCTTTCATGGCGTTATTTGCCACATAACTTCATTACTAGCATTGCGTTTCACGGCGGTATTCAGAGAGTAACAACTCTCGAACAAATTTGTAAATGGCGCTCTTTTATTACCCGGGGCTTGGTGTATAAATAACTCAGTACCAGAAAATGATTTGTAAAACTTCTTGTTGAAATTTAAATTGTGGTACAATAAGGTAGCGTTAAATGCAGCGTTGTAACGAAGTAATGTGATAAGTTACGTTCTGATCCGCAGTAAGAAGGGGTGGGGGATGTCGGCCGGGCACCGTCTGTGTTTGATTGGCTGCGGCAGCGGCCCTGGAGGCGCCTCCAGGGCTGGAGGTCTGGAAGTAGGTGACGCTGAGGGACGCTCGGGGCGCGCAGGGTGCGAGCCGTGCGGGCTAGCTCCACGAGGAGGCGAGCTGAACCGGGAGGGGATGGTCGGCGTAGGGGGTGGGGTGCTCTTCTCCGAGTCCCAGGGATGTCGTCGGGATACTCCCCACATGGGAACAAAAAGCACGAAGTGAAGTGGGTTGGGGGGGGGGGGGAAACAGGTGGCCTACGTAGTCTAGACTAGACGAACTTAACTTTTGCAGACTGAGCGACCAAACCATCCAAGATGGCAGACACAAGTCAGGCTGAGCAGCCACCCCAGACCAATGGCTTCGCCGACGACGGCCTGGACGAGGAGGACAGGGAGAAGATTCGGCCAGCAGACATCGACGCGGTGAGTGTGTGTGGTGGATGCGGCGAGTTGTGGGGCTGTGCCGGGCTGTGCCGGGCTGGACCGGGTGTGACTGACTGGTGTGGGGCCCACGGCGCTCGTTGCAGGACGTGCGGGAGATGGAGCGGCGGAAGCGCGTCGAGATGATCATGAACAGCCGCCTGTTTCGCGAGGAGCTGGAGCGCATCTTCGACACGCAGATGAAGGAGGGTGGCGCGGGTCCGGGAGGCCTCCTGCAGCAGCTCTCGGACATGATGGGGCACGGCGGGCCCAAGGGCAACAACATGTTCAGGAGTGAGTTGCCGCATTCGGAAGCGTTGCCCGCTCATCTCTGGGCCAATTTACCATAAATATATATGTGTTCTTGTTGATGTTTAGGTTCAAGCTGTGTCATTCCTATCAATGACATTCGTGGTTTGGAATCAATGGGGTACTCGAAAGGTGAAAAGGTTTTACGATGCAAATTGGCTGCTGTGTATAGACTTATGGACCTCTATGGATGGACTCAGGGAATCCACAATCACATCACTGTAAGGATCCTTTCTATGATATGATAAAAGTGATTATGGTATATTGTGTTTTTTTTTTATATCATGTAATTACAACTTGGCTATTTTGTATATTATACAGGCCAGATTAAATCAAGATGAGGAGCACTTCCTGGTAAATCCATGGGGCATGTTGTACCACGAAATCACTGCCAGCAGTTTGGCTAAAGTTGATATGCAAGGCAACATTGTAGAAAAGGGAACAACCAATTATGGTGTTAATAAAGATAGCTTTCAGCTCCATTCTGCCATTCATGCAGCCCGTCCAGATATAAAATGCATCATTCATATACATGTTAATTCTGTTCTTGCTGTAAGTGTTCCTGCTTCTCCCTTTATTACATTATTGCGTATGAGAGGTTGAAGTTGCATTTATAATTATTGCTTTTCAGGTGTCATCGCTCAAATGTGGTCTGCTTCCCCTATGCCAAGAATCTTGTGTGGTAGGTGAGGTCAGCTCTCATCAGTACCAAGGAGGTCTTTTTGAACCTGAAGAACGTGATAAGATCTCTCGAAACCTTGGCCCCAACAACAAAGTAAGTTACCAATGTACTGCAAGAAACATGTTTTGGAAATTAAGATAGAAGCACATGCTTAACTAATATTTTAATAAATTTCCTTAGGTTATGTTTCTGACAAACCATGGTGCTATGTGTTGTGGCGAGACAGTTGAAGAAGCATTTTTCAATGTTTACAACACAGTTCAGGCTTGCGAATCACAAGTATGTTGTTGTTTTTTAAAGTATACATTTTACTTTTTTGTACCATACCATACATGATTACAAACACTTACGTTTTCTTCCCCTAATTTTGATTTAGATAAAGTTGATGCCCATGGGTGTTGAAAACTTGGTTCTATTAACTGACGAAACGAGAAAGCGAGTCTATGATGCAGCACGCCGCCCTCCTGATGGATTTGCACTGGATAAGTCAGATAAAGAAAAAGACAAGGAAGTCACATCTCCCACCATTGCTGCCAAAGGCAAAAGATGGGGTGTGGGTTGTACTGAATTTGAGGCTCTAATGCGAATGCTTGACAATGCTGTGAGTAATAAATAGCCAAATCAAATCACCAATTAATCCTCTGCTACTTTTTGACATTGTGAAATCTTTCTTCCACTTCTAGGGTTTCCGAACTGGTTACATATACAGACATCCCCTCATTAAAGGAGATCCTCCAAGACCACGAAATGATGTCGAAGTACCCCCAGCTGTGTCTTCTCTCGGTTATCTTCTTGAGGAAGAGGAGATGTATAGACAAGGGTAAGAAGCCCGTTCTAAATCTCTTGTAATTTAAATATTTTGCGAGCTTGGATGTTTGACTTTTTGTTTTTCCTTTTTCAGTGGCTGGAAGAAATGGATGGAAGGCCGTAAAACTCATGACCGCACGAGGTGGCTCAACTCGCCTAATGTTTATCAGAAGGTTGAAATCCTCGAAACAGGGACACCGGATCCTAAGAAAATAACCAAGGTAGAGGTCATTACTTTTGAAAATAAGGGAACTGATTAAGCAATATCCATTTCAGATTCCTGCAACATTAATTTGGTCTTGATTCATTCCAATGCTTTCTGCACTTTAACCAGTTAAAGTTAAACTCTTTTCTTAATTTGAAATCACATTCAGCTATATTTAACTACATTCCCCTTTATAATTTTGGTTATTGCTTTTAGTCCTAATGGCCTACTTTGTGTGCTTATTGTGTTGCGTCTTTTGTTAATCCAAGCATGGTAGGCACAATTTTGTTTCCTTATCATGTTATTTATTGGTCAGGAAGTACTCTTTGACTACCTAATTTGAACTAGTGTTATCATTGGTTGCAAAGAATCGTGTGACCTCTTTTTATTGAGTATATTACTCTTGTTTCATGTTTTACCTCATCATTTTCTACCTCTGATCTGTATTTTTCTTTTTAAATCGATTCCTACTGGTTATCAAATAGCTGTAAATCATTTCTACATTGTTTTCATCTAATTCTGGGAGTGTTTGGTTTATTTAGTCCTGAAGAGACTTTTGGTCATTATTTTCCTTGATGTCAATTGTTGCATCAACCTGCAAGAATGAGAGACAAAACAGTCTTTCTCTTAAACTCAAACCACATTATTGAAGAAATATTCACTCTAGTCATTTATTTGTGCTGTATTTTGAGAAAGAGCAACTCTGCACCTTCTCATCTTGTTGCATATTAATTTTTACTGAGCCATTCAATTTTTAATCATTTTCGTTACAGTTCTCTTTATTAGAAATTTTATTAAATATATAGATTTTATATACCTTTAAAATAATTCTCATTACCTGTGAGTGCTATTTCTTCGACTTGGGGAAAATTATGTGCAGTATGTGAAGATTTACCAGGAATGTGAGGGAGAGCTTTCTAGATTAACTTTTGCATGAATTTAGTCATTAAATTATGAATGCCAATTTCGGCACTCAAGTTTTGTTACCATTTACACTTTCAGATCATTTTTATGAAATGCCATTCATATTATAAATCTTTGCTTCAGCTTCGGCTATAATCTTGTACCATCATAAGTAATAGCTGCCAATAGTAAAAATAAGCATGATACTCATTAATTTGGCAGCATTTGGTTATCCATTCCTAACTTTTATAAAGAACAGTAGTTTCCCATCATATGGGGCATTTCATTATGTAGGGGAGTTATGTATTGAGGTGTTATATACATTTTATGTAACTCCAAAGCTTAATAGCTTACATTGGAGGTGTGTTGTGAAGCAATTCACTGTAATGTTTATCCTCCTTTGTACAATCATCATTAAATCAAGAGTATGAATTTAAGTTTCTTAAAATAAGTTTCCTCAACCACTCATTTATTTATTCAGATCAGTGCACTAATGAAGTATTTGATCTTTGCAATATTAGAGCTCTTTTCCTTTTATGCATTTGACCAGTCTGTTTCAGTTGCTGCGCTATAAATGTACCATTTATACCAATCTTAATCTGCTAAAATTTTAATCACTTATTACTTTTGAAGTGCTGCACTGATCTGACATGCACACAATGCTCTCTACACTCGCAATAATTGCGTATACACTAACAATACATTCAGCAGCACAGACATTTCCAGATGCTTTGCATGTATTCAAAGAGAAATCTTTTGAAAAACAGTCAGATTTTTCATGGAAATACGTTATTTTGGAAATGCATCTGTGTTGTTTTTTGTTTCATTTTCTTGGCACATTGATTTGTCTGTAATGTGTAATAGAGTGTGTGTGTGGAAACCCATTTTATTTTTATTTATTTTTTATCTTTATTTTTGTTGAGTCTTATGTAGCCATGAGTAATTCCTCAGAGGTCATCTCAGATGAGTGAATTCTCGTATGGATCTTGTTTGGTTTGTTGTATTTTGGTTTTGTTTGTATTAACCCCTTTTTTGTTTGTTTTCATTTTCTTTTATGTTTCCTACACGTAGTGGGTGGACTCAAATGCCGACGAGGTAATTTAATATTGATATTCTTTACCTGTTGGGCTATGTACGGGTTATGGGTCAGTGTTTTGAAAAGTTAACTAAAGGATTTTGTTTGTCTTTATCTTTTACCTCCGTAAATTGTATTTTTATAGCCCATTTCTGATGCTATGTCAAACAAATCATTACAGATAAATCGTGTGCCTGTTTGTTGGACTCTCCTCACTTAAACTACATTAACATTTCACCTTTTTTTTATTCTCTTTGTCATTCACTGAAAACTTGGGTGAGGTTTGCCATAGTAGAGCAAAACCAGTGCATAAGAGACCCATAAAGTTTGCTCTTTTAAGAATAATATAACAATACTTTACCTCAAATTGTATTTCGTTTGCTGTTTTACCGCAGCATTTAAATTGAAATGTTTGGTTGAGTCTTGAGAAAAACAGGCACACAGATATGCAAAGTGGCCTAATGCATGGGTCCTTATGTGCTGGTTCTGTTTGTCACAGTGGGTCGCCGATGGGTCTCCCACCCACAGCAGTACGCCAGTCAAGATTGACACTCTGCAGTTTGTCCCCAAAAACACCAACACTAAGGAGTTTAAACGACTTCAGCAGCAGGTAAGATGCTCTCTCTGATTACTTCAGTAAAGTCAACTTGAAATTTATAAGCGCCTAGTTAATATGAAGCGGTTAATAATTATGTAATTTGTGTAGATCAAAGAGAACCGTCGAGCTGACAAGATTACATCTGGTCCTCAGTCACACATTCTTGAAGGTGTGTCATGGGAAGAGGCAAAGAAACTGCAGGTAAATTTTCCAATTCATATTTCTGAAGGTGTTATTTCTGAAGTATCATCTTGGGTTTTTGGTTGAATCTTAGTTTTGCTTGTAACACTCAAATTTCCCCTATTATAGGATGCCAACATTTCTCAGACAGGAGATCAGGTAATACTTGTTGGTGCTGCATCAAAGGGCATCATTCAGCGAGGTTTCCAACACAATGCCATGGTTTATAAAACACCTTATGCAAAGAATCCATTTGATACTGTCACTGATGATGAGTTAGAGGAGTACAAGAAAACAGTTACAAGAAAAGTTAGAGGGGATGGATGTAAGCATCAACGATTATCCATTTGTATTTCAGTTATCCTTCCTTCATTGTTATCTCAAATGTAACGTGGCTTTTGTGTGTGTGTGTCCGCGCGCGCGCCTGCAGATGATGAGGATCAGTCGGAGTCTGAGGCATTATCTTCATCAGCAGCTGGTCGTCCTCCAACTGGAAAGTCACCCACATCTCCAATTAGTGATGATGAAAGCAGAGATGGTAAGTCTTTGAATCTTTTGTTAATTAAAGCCAGGTGCAGGAGGGACTTCTTCACAGTTTGTTTCGGATCACCTTTACATGTTTCCTAGTTCCATGACCACAAAAGTTGTAAAAAATCCTCTGGAACTTAAACTCATTTTCTTCGGAAACAATTTTTACTTTTGAGAATGCATCTCACTGGAGAATTGTGTTTAATTTTTGAAAAGCAATGCATGTTCATCTTGCAAAAATGGGAGGTGGGATGGGATGGTGTGGCAAGGGACAATGCACGCAAAGGTGTTTTGTAAGACATGATATGTTTCCTCAGCATGTATTTAAAAATTTGTATTGTTGGAGGGTACTCTGATCAGTTTATCAAACCTGTATCCTAGGCCACACATTTACTCATTCCCTGGCCAAAGGAATTGGATTGATTTGTTTGCTCATTTATTATTGATGCACTGGAATATTGAGGGTAGCACGTGGGACATGCAGATGCAGTGACGTTAAAATCAGTAGGATATGCACTACTCCCTAGTTGTCTAAACTTCTTTCGGTTTAAAATAAAAATTGTTAAGTTCTACTCACAATCAGTTTCACATTATTGTCACTGCAACTGTACCCAAAGAACTGTTCCCAAGTGGTGATTGTCTTGTTCAAACTGGATCATTAACCCCTGCTATGTGTCTCTGTGGTTGGGCAGAATGTCGCGTGTTACGGATAGAATCTAAACAAGCACCAAGACCAATCCATGCAGAAGTTGTCCTCAGTGATGGTTAGTATCTTCTTCTTTTCCAAGTCAATTTGTATCTTTAATTCAATGGTTGGAAGATGTATGGTTCCTCTCCTCAAAACATTTCAATTTTCTGTTCGTAATTTTACTAGTGCATTTGTTCACTGCATGTTTTAATTTCAATGCCGTACTAACTGATTTTGTGTACATAGGTAAGTCTTTGCATGATGAGTACATTTTTCTGAATTGGAAGTGCATGTTGCATGTTGCTTCAGTAATACTGGAACAGTATACAGAACAGTAACTGCATCCTGTTTCTTCTTGTTTTTATGTTTGCAGATAGTGACTTGCAGGAAGTTTACCTAGTTACAAAACATATTTATATTCTTGTTTTTTACTAATATGCTTACACTAATCTATTCTCATTTAAATGTTGTGATGTGATACACTATCATCTAGTGTGTAAGCTTTGTTACAAGTATTCATCTGCTTGCTCAGTAGAGCCTGTTTTATATCAGTAGATAACATAAGTGTGCATTTCATTGAATTTCTGCATGTTTCATTTGTTTGAAGACTCTGATTACCCCGATGCTCATGTGGAAAGATCCAAATCAGCGCGCTTCCCTCTGAAAGGTAAATTGTAAATTTAAATGACTTTATTATTATGAACGATATTTGTAACGATAGGGAAGCAATTGCAATTGCAATATTTTTCTTGGCCTCAGATTAGACAACAGTTAATTTGTCAAAGTGAAAACAACAATCAGTGTGCCTCAAAATTGGGAAAACAGGCTGATCGCTGAGGCCGCTCAATGGCCTGAGAACACCTGGCAGAGGCCGCTGCTGAGTCTGATGTAGGCTGTTGCAGGCTCAGCCCCTGTTTTCCCAATTTTGCGGCCCACTGGCAACAGTAATACAAATAATTTATCTCCTTTTAGCACTAAAATTAAGTTTAGATCAATTTTTTTTCTTACATTCAATTTCACATTTGAGTTTTGATTGTTTTAAATATGGGAAAAATGAGCTTGTAAAAGTTAATGTGTAGTAGGTGCATGGGCATTTATTGTGTTTTGTGCTGTTTGCATCTTGTCAATTGCGTGCTTTGCTATCCAGCAACTCCTGACCTTGTAATCGCTCCTGGAGGCTTTGCCCGTTCATGGTCTCTTGGACGGAACAAACGACAAAGCAGAGGTGAGTGAAATACTGTGACTAGATTTGTACATTTGTATTGCTTTCTTGAAGCACTTTAACAAAGTAGTAAAATCACCAAGCTCATTGCATGGGGTTTAAGGTCCTCTTCCTTTGGACTGTTTCGGGTATTGGTAAGTACTTGTGTGGTGTTCTTTTGGTTTGGATTTTTAATCTGTTATCTATCCTTAACCAAACCAAGAAAATTATGCTTTTGTCATTCTGTTTGTTAACGCTCAGCATGGTAACACTAGACCTCATTTTCTACACTTTGTGTATTGACCATAGAGGTGATTGCAGAAAATTTCAACTCTTTAAAATGCTGGGTGGTAGCAAAAATACATTTTGATTGATTGCCTGTTTGCCTGTTTCTTGAGCTCTGCTTTTTTTAACAAGTCACTTGGCATGTATTTCAGATTGTAGCAGTAAGAAACTACAACATACCAGTGACTGCAATAGATGCCCCCTAACGAAAAGTCTACCAGCTGTCTCCCGTCCTCATTTTCACCATGCTGCCTATTTAAATCTCCCCTGTACCCAGTCCACTAAGACAGTGTCTTCATCATCTCCCTGTTCAATTACACGCTTCAGCCAAGTCAATAAGCCAGCACATCAAAACCAGGCTGTTTCAGATTTTGTATCAATAATGACTGCTCCCAAAAGACTGAGCAATTCTGGAACAATACATAAAGAAATGATGTATGATGGTAGTGATGGTGATGATGGAGACAGCTTAGCTGATGTATCATCACTGCCATACTCAGATGTTGGATGTCTGGATGAAAACCACAATGTGACTATCGAGGAAACATGCATCAAGTCTGTGAAGGTCGAACTGAAAAGCATCAATAACATGTATGCTACTTTAGAAACCTCTTTCAGTGACGTAGATATTAAAAACTCTGAAGTTCTTCCTGCTGATAAAGATTGCACTGACAGTGAAGAGAGCCATACTCCGCTTGAAACATGTGATACCACTGTCATTGTTCCGAACCTTGCTTCTAATGGTCTTGGTGTAGAAGATCCCCATGTTGAAGTGGACATTGAAAATGAAAAGTTACAACTTGGAGCTAGCTATGAAAACAATATTTCCTCTGAAAGAAGTGATTCATCTAATATGTCCAGCCAAAATCTTAAAGAAGTTGCAAACCCTGACCAACATAATGAACCACTTCTATTTCATGTAGATGAAGCTGGGGATAATCCAGATGCCTGCTCTGAAAAATTATCAGTTCATGACTTAAATCCCAGATCTAGTAGTCATTCAAGCAATGATAATGCGGAACTTGAGGACAAACATGATGACACTATTTTAGTTAGTTGTAAAATGAGTGAATCCCTTGAAGCTTCCCTATCTAGTAATGAAAATAGTGAAGTAAACTTCCAAGAAGATGAGCCTGTGTGTGGTTTTCCTTATCTGGAAAGTCTAAATGCTGAATCTAAGACTACCCTCTGTATTGGAGAAAATGAGATGGTTGACTTATATTCAATAGTTTCATTGAATCATGGAGACACCAGTATTTCCGATGATGGCAAAATAGTAGAAGAAGTTGTTGCTACTCGGAGTGAATCTATTGGTGGACTTAATGAGTGGGACTTGCACCAAGAATCTGAAACTGAAAAGACACCTCCCGATTCACTATATATGTATGATGTGAGCCGTGGTAATTTAGAAATAGAAGACCTACTTCATTCTTCAGATTCAGAGGATGATGCTAGTTCATGTGAAGACATTCCAAATTTTCATGATATAAGCCGTGGAAATTTTGAAGTGGCAGAAATTATTTGCTCTCTAAGCTCTCCTAGACCTTCCAGTAAAACCCTTTCACAGACGTCATTCAGTATCAGCTCAGACATTGAAACTCAAACTAGTGAACATGATTATGGAAATGAGAACCAATCCATACCTAATGGAGCAGGGGAAATACTTTATGACCCATCTGAAACATGCTCTGACGAATTTTTTTCTCCATTGTCAACATTTTCTAATGTTGCCTTCACCACAGATTCAGGAGAAGAATATTATTCTTTGTACCCCCCAGTTTCTACCGAACATCTGGGTCCTGCTGATGATGACTTGTCAACCATTGATGGGAATGATATTGAAATTGACTGTGATCCCTTTTCACGTAGTTCTTCCTTGCCAAATAACCCCACTATTGAAGAGCGTGATATTCCTAAGAACGATTCTGAAGGTGTAGCAAGGAATGTAATCACAGCTGCGTTTGATGATTTTTGCACAAGTGGAGGAAACACACTTGATGAATTTGAGGATTGCTGGCCGAGTTTCGTGTCATGTGATGATGAGATTATGGTGTCTTCTGATGTGCTTGATAAGCATGAAATAAATGTGCAGAGTGACCTTGATGACGATGAAAGAACAATATGTGTAGAACATTCTGATTCAACATTGCGATCTGCTGGCAAAAGAAGACTATCATTTTCTAAGTTTTCCATTTCTACACCTGACGTTGACTGTGCTGGAAGATTTCAGTCTTCTCCTCTAGAGCTTGGCAGACTTTTTACTCTGAAAAAGTTCAAGAGTTACTCTGAATCTAGGCTGAACAATTGCCCTCATTATTCTCCCAAGTGATACAATCTGCTTCCAATTTGCTTTGTTTTTTTGTTGTCTTGCTTTGTAATGCCCCCTTCCCATTGACTGAGATGCTTGTATATCTATCCATCCACCCATATTTTAAAGCCATATTTTTCTCTTTTATAAATGAACAACCAATTTTAGATGATACAATTTATCTAAAAGGAGGCTCTAACAAAAACTAAAAAAATTGTGAAGAGGCACACCAACCTGGAAAACCAGCTTAATTATGAACACAACTACAAAATCGTTTAAGGTTGCCCAAGTGCTATGCAGCACTAAGGTTTACTTATCTAAGAAAACCAGTAGCTCCTGATTTTACTTTTATCTGTATTCACAATTTTCTTATGTTTTTTTAGTATAGCCTCCCCATTAAATCAGAATACCTTGGTATTTCTAGTATGAAATCCTCCTGTATCTTGTATTCTTATCGTACTATCAAACGTTTTTAAGTTATTTCTATTCACTGGACTGTAGATTGGTATGTTACTTTATATACCTGTTCAATTCAGTACTTTGTACATTTTATGAAGTATGGGTTATGGCTTCTCTCTTTCAAAAGTTGTTGATTCTGACTCATTATAAATATTTTTCAAGATACTTTTAATAACACAATCTTGCATTGCATTCTGTTTTAAATTTTTAACTGTTTTCAAATTTTATACTAGTTTGGAATCAATCCTAAAGTGACTGACCTGTGCAACCTCTTCTCTGTATACTGTTTGTGTTTTTGGTTTTGGTGTTTTGTTGCTTTGAAGCTAGGTTTGTTGTTTCCTTTGTGTTTGAAATGTATAAATATCTCACATTTTGCATTACAACTCTTTTAATTAGTCTAGTTTAGAAGCACATTGCTTTCTATTATTGTTCCTTTCAAAGTTCATTCATTGTGATTACTTCTTTATCTGAGTCACTTGACTTGGCTCCTTCAATTGTGTGGATATTTATGATAAATCCTCATTGCAGTAAAATTTCATTCTTCACTATGTAGTTTGAAACAAATATCATACACTTAATTCGTTTTGAAAGGTGATTCACCCTGGACACCTTGATCAGATATCTTTGAGTTATTACTGAAGAATAGTAGCACAGTATCATCAATCTTCTGAGTCATGATCTTAATTTCTCAGGTGAAAGAAATTTTCTGCATGCTTTGTGTCATGTTATGTTACTTGTTATATTAAAGGTGAGGGTTTTTTAAAAATCTGAGCTTTTAAACATTATCGTACTTGCACTACACTTAAAATACATCTTAGCATTCTTATGCTCATTAATTCAACCACTAAGGTGAGGTGAAATGGTCAGTCATCAATTATTTTTTTTCTATTCCACTACATTTGTCCCGTTTCTGTTTTTTTGTTATTTTTTCCCTTCCTTAAATTTTAATTGTCTTTTAGAAATCACATCTTGACTAGAAATTCTTTCCTCCAATTTCAAGTTTCTCTGTTATCATCTTTCTAAATTGGTTTACTGTTCGTTTTTTTTTTAGGGGAGACAGTGAATGGTGACCATTCAGAGGCTCATCAAAGTACAATTTCTCAGAGCAGCAAGGAAGTCAGCCATGTAAGTAATACATTGATATTTTCTCTTGTCAAGTTTTGATCAAAAATTGGGATAAGCCCTTTCTTTAATATTTTTTTTCCTTCTGATTTAGGGCTCAACATCTAAGGACATGTCAGAAGACTCACCAAAGAAGGACAAGAAAAAGAAGAAGGGTCTGCGCACACCATCTTTCCTGAAAAAGAAGAAGGAAAAAAATAAAAAGGCAACTGAAGCTTAGATAGTCATAAAATAAAGGTAATGTGCCTGGTTTTTTGTCCCCTTTCTTTCTCTTTTTTTATGGTGGAAATACAATATTGGTTAAGTATTGATTTTTTTTCTTTGTGTCTGTAGACACTGCCGTTGTAGAGGGAGAAGAAAACGAAGCCCTCACATCTTTCTCTACTTTGAAGACTGCCTCAACCTTTAAACCATTTTGTTGGATTGAGGGCATGGCTGGCTATATACATCACAGCAAAGTTTAACATTGAGCTAGAATAGAAAAGGTGTGTCTGTAATTAAGACAAGTGAGTCAAAAACTTCAAGATTATGGAGGTGTAGATGGATGTAATTTGATCTGCTGTGCTTTTACTCGCTTGATGTTGGATGAACTGTTTTTCCACTGTGTTCCTTGGACTACATGAACTTTTTTTTATGTTAAGAAATACTCCATCTTCCTATGTTTTCAACAGCTGCCAATTATTTTAAATCTTTTGCTTCTTCCAATGTTAAAGTCACCTTACAGACTCTGAATTTATGGTTAGAATTTTATTGCAGATTGTTGTTAATGAATTTGTTGTTTGCAAAACCTCTATGAGGATTGGCTATGCGTTTTGTACTTTATTTTGTGATGTGCACAAGTTGATTTTGTGGAAACCAGGAAGGTGTTCTCAAATGGCTTTAAGAGTTTTTAGTTACTATTTGTATTTTATACCAAAATACTGATTGTCGTATGGTCCGTCTGTCTTTACTACTCAGTTATATTTCATTTGCTTCTATTTTTCTAATGAAGTGGAGTTGAGAAGTCACATTGTACAATCATTCTGGCTACTCATGTTATGATGTTTTATTTATCTTTTTCTTATCTTGTAGCAAACTATCACTAAATCTATTTGTAAATTTATTATGAACCACCTACATCTATATTTTCACTGCCCAAGCAGTATGTTGAAATCCTTCCAGAGAGTCTTACATGTGGTTTGGCTCATTCAGGGTGAAAGATTAATATGTAATCTGCTTCAATTTCGTGCTCTACTCTGACACTGGTGCTCTGTGGCCAAAGGAAAATTTTACAAGTTTTAATACTTTTTATTATTGTTCAGTGTTACAATTTTAGTTGCTTGTTGTAGTTGAGATAATTGTAAGTATTTGAATTCCAACTGGCCACAGAGAAACACTTTGTGACCAGTAATCAAAGGTTCAACCAGTTTAAAAGGTGGATGTAAGTGTCTTGTTTTGATAGGAATGTGTGTGAGGATGGGCGTGGATGTGTACAGATTGTGAATAAAATTAAGTTGTTTGTGTTTGTGCACACAAGTGTACAAAAGAAAAGTGATATTATGAGATTCAAATTGTATTTTATGGTCCTGTTTGAATTTCGTACATGACTTTGAATCGGAGCTTATCTTCTTTCAACTGCCTCACCTGCAAGAAAGCTTTCAAAGGGTGCTATTGGCTTGTACATACTTCCTCTGCTTAATGAAATGGAGAAGTAAGAGGTATTTCTGTAAATCAAATTTTAAATTCTTCCTTTGTTTTATGTGCAGTGTAAATGAGTAATCAGTGACTTTTTGTTGTGTTTATTTTATTCATTTTAGAGAATGTGTAATGGGAAATTGTGAAAGATTTTATAGATATTAGTTTGTTGTATTATAAATTTTGGTATCTAATGAAATTGCAAATGCTGCTTTTGCTTGTCAAATCATCAGAGCACTTTTATGTCTATTTTTTACTGCTAATGACAACTTAATGAATTGTGATCATTTCTTTGCCAGAATCCCTCTATGCATCAAGCTGCTTGTTAGATTGTTCTCCACTTTGGCTGTGGTGCTACAACAATGAATTAGTAATTTCATGACTTGAAAATGACAGATTCATGACAATGATTGACTCTTAAATGATATTTCAAAGAGGTTAATGTGAAAAGCTGTATCATTCTGGTGTTTGAAATTACCAAATGTGACTTGAAGTAATTTTTCTTTTTATAAACAAAAAAGCCTTTTATAACCAGTTGTTATTTATTTATTCTCTTGAAGCGACATGGATGCATTTTCACCATTTCATGAGTGGAAATTCGATCCTGTAAGACTTTAAACAATCAATTGGGTGTTTGACAACCTTCTCAAAGTAACACTTTTTGAAAGTCACAAGATAGACAAACTGGAAATAGGAAGCAAGAAATAGAAAACTGCCAAATTTGTCTGATGAAGAGATTGATGACCTGTAGGTGGGCCTTTTTGTGGTCAACCCTATTTACCAGTGCATCTACTACAATGTTAAAATATACATATAGTGAGGATATTTTTCAAATTCTGTGCATTGAACAGAGTAAAATGCTATTTATCTAGGAATGTAAGGAAAATTGGCTGCTTAGACTGGATATTCAATGTAAATGTATCATGTGCTGTAAAATTAGTACACTAAAATATTTATTTTTAATTTTTTATCACATATGCATTTTGCCTACTTGGGGCCACATCCTTGAATTTGTCGTGTTATTGTAACATGTTATGGTGACTATTTGTATGCTCATACAGGCGTTAGGCCTCGCTTGAATGCTGTGCTCTTGTAGGCAAATGCATTGAAATTCACAAATCTGAAGAAAAAGAAAAAATAAAGAGTTTGAAGGTAATGCCCCTGTGTCTGCTGTTGGTGTGAAGCTCAACAAACTACCCCACTTCTTGTCTTTCAAAAATAAATCAGCTATCACCATACCTCCCTCAACCAGGAGTCGAGGTCGAACCCCATCATCCTCATCCCCTTTCAGCAGAATTACTGAAAAAAAAAGTGTAGTGTGAATAGCTTCATCCGAGTTATTTGCACACATGCTTAAGATAAGATAACCTAACTGAAAGTGTGCAGTTTCAGTTTTTCGTCCCTTCTCTTCTCTTACATTTCAAATTGGCAATATTGTTGGTAGGTTCGAAGAAAACTAGAGATTATTTAACCTACTTACGTCACGAACTTCACAAATTGTTATTGAGAAAGAAAACTTATCTACTGTTTTCTTTCTCTATCAGTGCTAACCGTGGGCTAAAGTCATAACAACAGCTCGTCCAAGACAACAGTTTCCAGTGTAAAACGATGCTGGAGCCTGTGAAACACATTTTATCTTCCAAGAGGATCATTCTCGCGAGTGGTTCTCCCCGCAGACGTGAGCTTCTACACAATATTGTATGTATGCAACTCGGGTACAAGTTTGTTTGTTTTCATTTTATTAACAAATGCATTTTTTATAGCATGTAATTTCCTGCTTCAAAATTTCAGGGTGTTAAATGTGAAATCATACCATCTACTTTTGAGGAAAACCTTGACCCCAAAAGTTTTACACCTGATGCCTTTGTAACAGAAACTGCCAAATTCAAAGTTCTTGAGGTAGCTGAACGCTTATCCAGTGATGTGAGGTCTCCAGATCTTATAATTGGATGTGATACAACTGTTGCACTTGGTGACACAATGTTGGGGAAACCAAGTAACAAGGAAAATGCGTTTGAAATGCTATCAATGTAATATCGTTTGACATTACTTTGTGTTAGTATTTTTTTGGCAGATGATATTTATCTTTCGTGTCATTTGATCAATATTTTACAGGTTGAGTGGGAAAGCTCACACTGTCTATACTGGAGTAGTTCTAAAAACTCCATCAAAAACTGTCTCTTTCTGTGAGAGCACGAAGGTTTACTTTGCTAAACTGAGCCCAGAAGTGATAAAGAGCTATATTGAGACAGGCGAGCCGATGTAAGTAGTAGGTTCTGTGTAGTTAATCCATGCAGCATACATGCATGGATTGCTGGAGGCTAACTAATTTTGGTATTTTGATGTCAGAAAATGGATGAGTGTCAAATTTGAGCATATTTAGGACCCAATATGAGGATAGTATGGGTGAATTAGACAAGTTAATGTAAGTTAAAAGACGCGCAAGCTTAGTGTAAATCGCTCAGCCATTAGAAGTGTCGGTGTGTCTACTATTTTAACTTATCAACCCATTTTATTCTCACATTAAGTCCTCCTAAATATGTTAAAATTTATAACTTACCCGGTTTCCAAATTTCCAAATTTGCTAGGGTAGTAAGCCTCAAGCAATCCATGCATGTATGCTGCATGGACACTTAGAGTGATGCATAAGCTGAGCATGCAGACAGCAATGTTATTGATGCCATTTTTCTTTATTAAAGGGACAAGGCAGGTGGTTATGGAATCCAAAGCATTGGTGGCTCTCTTATAGAAAAGATAGACGGAGATTATTTCACAGTTATGGGACTTCCATTGTGCTCTTTAAGTAAGCACATTCTACAACTTTTGGAAGAAAAGTCAGTTTGAAATTGATGTGTGATAGGTTTTTCAGTCGGATGAATCTTTCGGTTTCAAATACAATATAAAAATAATATCTATCTTGTACATTCAATGAACAAGCTGTTTGGGCTGTGTAAGAATCAATCAGTAGGTTTTACTGAGAATTTCATGGTGACAAGATCATCTAAACCACATTCTAGAACATCATTGGGTCTAACTGGCCCTACGCCTGATGGTGAGCCAGTGAGGAGAAGGTCCCCAGGTTCAAGGGTCATGAATTGAGAGACAAAGCTAATGAGATGGGCAGTGGAGAAAATCATATCATTTGTATTGCCATTCTGAAACAGAGTTGAAAGTAGAAAGCAACAAAAAGGAAACCAGTTAGAAAAACAAATCATTAAAAGAAAAAATGATACCTGTTTGATATCGCCATTTAACTTAAGCCATAGCTTAACATCATCAGGGTTTTTAATGTCTTCTTTAGGAATGAATTTACTGACAGGACATGCAGTATCAAACCCTTTTCCTAGGTCCCAAGGGGCTGATGCTTTTCTCGCTTCACTCTGAAAAAGGGTTGAGATAGTTTTCATCTAAAAAATAAATTGTGTTATTAAAACAGCACCAAGTACTGACCAGAATTGAAACATTAGTCATGTCCAAAGCTAAGCAGTATCCTCCAATGTAGTCCAAAGCATTAGATTCTGTAACTTTCTTGCATTTTTTACCAATGATAACACCAAGTTCAACTTCGTAATTCACAATATCAGATTTGGATATCTGGGCAGGGTGGAATGTTATGGAAATGTCAGTGAACGTTGATAATATCTGAATACAGACTTATTGTAATAATTCCCATTACCTCTATGTCTTGCCCAACTTTGATGTATGAAGAAGTCGCTTTCAAAAATATGATTGGTCTCTGAGGGTGCTGCACCTTAAGATCTTTCGCCAATGACCTAAATGTTCCCAGAACAATTATCATTATTAGATGCGTCAATAGATTATGATTGGGCAAAGACATATGACTGGGTTGATATGATATTTACTTGTAATTCAGCGCTGCTCCCACAATCTTCCTTCCCACTTCGCTGAAGTTGGGTAAATGTACACTTGCCATTCTTGAAACAAGATGAGATGCCTAAGGACCAGTAGACACAGTGTCAATGTGTTGTTAATTTTTTGTGTGTATGAGGTGTGTTCCTTGGCACATACTAATCTCTGCTGGCATTATCAGCATGACCTTGTAACCTACCATGGTGGTGATGGTGAGTCCGTTTGGATACAAAAACAGCAAACAAGCAAAGAAACCGGCTGATTGTGTCGTCTGCAGCGAACTGCGAATAGACGTTCAAGACAGTGTATACAGTTAGTCAGTGTTCTACGATCGACGTTACCACCAAAACGCTAACACAAAATGCGAAATCATTAGTTATTAAGTTATTTTCACAAAGTTTACGAAAAAAATGAATTAAAGGCTGGAGAATGCCTTGTCATTGGCCTCAACCTCGGCTTCTTTGTTCCCCCTAAGTTTTTAGAACCAAATATTTATTCACAGCAGCCTTCCGGTTTCTATCCCGCAACTTGAATGAGAAATTCCCATCCTAATGGGGAAGGCCCAAAATCTCAAGGGATATGCACGCTACCTGGGCAATGTGGTTTTTGCAGAAGAAGCAAGGGTCAATCAGACAACAGCCAAATTCTTTCTTTATTCTATTTTATTTCTAAGTTACACTATCATAATGAATCCAAAACGCGCAGATACAGAGGCACGGCAAATCCAGCGAATTTGCACCGCTACTTCACTACAACAACAGGATCTCCAGACAAGTCTTACGGAACATAATCTAAGCGTGCAGACTGCAGGGACGTGGGCAGGGCCAGGCCCGGGCCAGGGCGTGTTGGCCGACCAGGTGATGTGCGGGGAGTCAGTTTGCGAACTTCTCACAGTCGGTTAGTTTCTGTGCCTCATCCTGCAACACAAAGGAGGAGTCAGGTTACCCAGGGGCAAGTGTGCGCGTGCGCCGGGTGCGTGCCCCGGTTGCGCCGCGAGCGCTCACCTGGATGAGTTTGTAGAGGTACATGAGCGAGTCCATGGAGGGCTTGCAGGCTTCTTGCTGCGGCGCGCCCCGCTTACCCCAGCTGGGCGAGAAGTTGACCTGCGCCGTGACCAGCGTGGCGCAGGTCGCACATAGCACCAGCAGCACGGACGCCACCACGCGCACCACCCTGGAACAGCCGTGGCGGTCAGCGTGAGGTGTCACACCTGAGGTCAATTGGGATGTTAGGCTGCGCGATGGGCAACGTTTTGTCTCTAACGGTGGGGTCACAGGCGCAGCGGACTCGAGGAGAGGGGGGGGGGGCTTCCTTGAACACCTGAGAGTCGCGTTTGTTGGCGACTCGCCCCTTGAAGCTTAACTTTGATTACTTGTCCCTCGCCGCCGCCGGTCGTCGGCGCGTCTTGGCTAAAACAGGCAGGAAGCAGTTGCAGTGCAGAAGCTGGAGGGGAAAGGAGGCGGGGGGGGGGGGTACTGACTGTCCATGTAAACCCATCGCATACGCCGCTTCAACCCGGCCGCAGACTCCGGCGGCTTTGGCCGTATCGGCTGAAGGGGGATTATGGTGGGCGGGCTCGTGTCTGTATGCAGATGGCGCGAGGAAAGACACGAACCGATCGCGGAGGAGAGCTTTAGAAGTTGCGCATAATTCCCCGTCTCCGTCTGTCCTGGGGGGGGGGGGGGGGTAATCGCCAGCATCCAGAGAGAACGGGTGTTGTCCCTACCGTGTAAGTAAGCACGGCCGCGTTCTGGCTGGTCTGGTCCGAGCAACTGCTAATTTCCGCCCTCTTCCCTTCGGCAGCCCCACCACACGTCCCACCCCTCCCCTACCCGCGCGCATCCCCCGACTACCCTGCCGCCGGCCGGATGTGGGAGCGCCCTTCCGGGACTTACAATTACCCCGGGGCGGCCGAGAAAGGACGCGGAAGGGGTTGGTAATCGCCGCGAGAACACAGCGCGAGCACGCCTCTGTGGAGATTATTTCTCTCCTGGGAACAAGTCGAAACAACAGGTACACCCCGCGGGGCTGTGCCGAGCACATCAGCCGGCCAGTCACGTCGGCGGCCCTTCCGCCGGGGCGGCCTTCTTGTGCCCCCTGCCCCCCCCCCTCCTTACCTCACATCTGCACTGGACCTGGGGCCAGGGCAGGTCCTGCAGGCCCAGCAGATCCTGCTTATCCTGCGGACACCGGAGCGCCCGCCCCATGCAGTCCCGCCGGGCACGGGCGCAAGCGGGTTGCCTACCCTCTGCCCGTAAGGCGCCCCGGGCCTCCGGCGCAACGCCATCGCCGCAGTTTGTGTAGACGGGGCGGGGAGGAGTGTCTACACGCGCGGTTTTGCGGTTTGGGGTAAGCGCCTCTCCCTCCGGTCAACTCTAATAAGCCACCTGGAAGCGATACTCCAAACCGCGGTTAGTTGTCGGCAATTGCTTTGAAAATACGTCGAGGGACGTATCGTGAAAGCAGATGATACGATTTTAAGGATATGTCTGTGCCCTAATTTTCTCTCATATTTTGATGTTAATTGTTTATGGCTGTTTGTCACTTTTAGCAATTGCTTTCTTGCAATTCAACGAACTAGCGGCATGGCAAAGAGGAAGAGATAGGATAGGGGGCAGCAGGCAGCAGGCAGGCCGGGCGGCATCCGTGGCTCAGTATTGTTGGGTATTGTTGGTGGGCACGGGCGGGGCTGGCGACTTCTCGCGCCCCTTATACATCTGGGTGACGTCATGCGCTTTGGTTCTCTGCCCTTCTCGAGAGTACAAGCTGCTGACACCTTAAAGTTTTATATATATATGTTTTATGTTTAGTCTAAAGCTATTTAAGGTATCATCTGCTAAAAAGGAGGGGGGGGGGTAAGCGAGAGAAGTGATAAAAACACGTGAGGGACGATTTGTCCTTCGATTGAAAGAAGAATGTAATAGGAAAAGAGGAAAATGGTGGCGGGGGCACAATCGTCTTCTGATGAGCAACGGTCATCCTGCACCCGCACGTTCACACGATTGCACCCTTCTATGTCTATCTCACTCACTCTCACACGCGGCGCACACGCACTGACACGGGGTTGCCGAGCTGATCACACTGACCTGGACGAGAACTGCATAGCTGCCATTCGAAACACTATAGAACTATGGAGCAGATCAGGCCGGCCTGGGATGCTGTGATCCGGTCAACTCCGCTGAGCCACTGCGAGTGAGGGCCTGGGGTGGGGGAGGCGCCTTATAACGGGGCGTCGCGAGGGGCGGACCTCGGGCGGCGGCGCTGGGAGGCGCACGGCGCGGGGGCGCGAGCGAGGGCGAGGGCGGCGCTCTGCTGCGGGTCTGCGTCGTCAGTCCGTCAAGCCAAAAGCGTCATTCCAAATCCAGAGCAGATTAGCATAAGCCCGTGGCCCGCGGAGACGAGCCGCAGCAGCCATCCTACAATATATCGGAAAAAAACATTTGCGTACCGATATGTGTGAACGTTTTCCTGATCCTGAAAACTTTACCTCCAAGATACTTTTTTCAAAATGTAGGAAATTTTGGAACCAATTTTTGGAACAAGGTTTGGGTAGTCTGATTACCCCTGTTTCAGGCTGTCTTTGCCGGTCTTTTTTCTTTACGCGGCCAGAATGTTTGGCACCGCGCCTGCCCCTTGACCTCCGAGAAGAGGCAACACCTGTGGGATTTGTGTACTGCCTCTCAACTGCACATCGCACCGGGATGGGCGGGGCGCGAGGGCGTCATCGGTTAGAGCTGGAGCAGCCCAGGGGCCGAGCCCAGGGGCGAACCTGCCTGTTCACTTTACGGCAATGGGAAATGAGGAGGCAGAGACGCGGCGGGGCGCAGCAAATAATAATGCCCTGCGGCTGAGGACCACGTGACCTCCGCGCAACACAGTTCAAACATTGCAAAGCAAAACGCCAAATCCTTTGCAATTACGAAGCAATGCTTTGCCGTTGCAGAACAAATGCTTTACAATTGCAAAGCATTTGGCCTTTTGCTTTGCAAGGTTTTAACAGTGAAGAGTGCTGGAGAAACCGGGGTGGACCCTAGCATTTAGCGCCCCTAGCTGCAAACATCCTGCAACTCTGTGTGTCGGTGGTACGCCACAACCAGTGTTGCGGGTTTGCCCACCCTAGGGACCAAGGCGCCTTACGAATGGAGCGATGAGGCACAACAGCCCCATACTGCTGTGTCGTAGCGTAGCCCAGACACACTTTGTTGTCAATCCAAACATGTCGTCGGCTGGAAGGTGAAGGTGCCCTGGAGTGGAAGGGGTAGAAGTTAGGTATTCAGGAGTGGAGTGGGTGGCTTGTCTGTAATGGGAAAGGGGGTGGAGGTAGCAAAGAATAGGGCGAGACCATGCTTGCAGAAATTTCCAAAGTATGAAGCCCTAACGAAGACATGGGCAGAAGCTGGGTAAGAGTGCGTCAGTGAGCAGTAGTTTGTGTGTTAAGGGGCGCATATAGGGCAGAGGAGAAGTAATGCCAAAGAAAGAGAGGTCTGTGTGCTGTGGCGTGGGATGAGCTTGAGTGGTGAGGTGAAGGTGTGCCCCCGCCGCGGGTGGTGAGTGCTGGTGGTGCTGGTGAGCGGAGCCCGAGCGGAGCCGAGTCCTGCCCAGTCCTCCTCACGCGCGCTGGCGGCGTGCTCAGCCCGGGAGTTTAATGCCGCTAAATGCACTGTTGGTGTACGGCGGCGCAGGGGTTCTAGTCCCTGAGGAGCGCACCCCTCCCCCCTCCCCAACCCCTATTAGCAGCCGCATGCGAGCAAGCCTTGTCGGAGTAATGGGGCGCTGGCGGTGCAAGTTCGAACCACAATGAGGGAACATATTTATATAAAGAGGGGGAAACTGGCAACAAATTGGAAAACATTATCCGATTTCTGTTGAATTTGCTATTTTATACTGTGTGAATTCACTTCGTGTTCACTTCGTCCTGCATTAGTAAGCTGAAATGAACAGGAGCTGTAAATTGACTACTCACGGAACGACCTGTTTTTTGTTGTTTTTTTTTTTTTTTTTTTGGGGGGGGGGGGGGGGGGGTTCCGGGTCCGATAATAAATAATAATCCCTTCTTGGTCTCCGCGTGTCTGCACAGCCCTACTGGCATCTGGGGTCTGGGGATGGAGTGGCCTTGTTGTATCCAATTAAAAACTTGCTGGGTCCACGCTCAGCGCAGAGCGTACGCCCGCCACGCTCGCGGCGGCGTGGCGTGGCGGCCGGAGCGTGAGCGGCCGTGTGCAGGGGGCGGAGGCGCCGAGGGAGAGTGGAGGTTTATCCCCCCCCCCGCCCATTTCCTTTCCCCGCCCCCATGAGTGCTAGGCCGTTTCTCAATCACAGCGTCGTGTGAAAGAACGAGTTCTGGATAACTGTACACCAGCAACCGTCCAAAACTTGAACCTTTTCCGACGGGGTACGAATAACGAATCGTGCTTCGCCGTGGTCGCTGGACTGGCGCTGCGGGTGGTTGCGGGGGCGGAGTGGTCTGTCCACAGGCCAACAGTCGAGCACGAAAATCGAGTTCCCCCATAAATACTTTATCAAACACACAAGGTGGTAGTCCGGAGGACTCACCTAGCGAGCGTCCGAAAGTGACGAGGCGCGCGTCCCCGCCCTCTCCCTCCGCCCCGCGCCGGCCCGCAGCACACAGCGCGCAGCGCGCCTCCCCCGCGGGTGACGGGGAGGGGGCAGTCCGTCGCGACGGCGCGGACGCAGCCCCGACGCATTGTCATTCCGGGAGGCAAACAGAGCGAGAGCGAAACAAGCGCGGCCCTAACGAGCAAAGGGTATGGCCCGTCCGGGGCGCGGTGGTCAAACTGGTCAAACTGCGCGGGGCGGGGCAGGGCGGGGAGGGGCGTTGGTGCCCTGCTGCTGGAGCACCCTTGCTACGCCCCGCCGGCCCCGCCAGCCCCACCGGCCCCGCCGGCCCCGCCCAGCAGCATCTGGACCGGCCCGATCAGGGCGCTTGTTCATTCCCACCGTGGTCCAAAGATGTGGCAAACTCGATCTGGACGAACTCAGCAGCACCGCCGCCCTCCGATGGCTGCAAATCACACCTTATGCTAGCTGGAGATGGATCAAACTGGCGTTCTTTTCCTTTGGGTCACCGACCGGACCAGGAGATGGTGTGCTGATCGAGATGACAGCGAACTCGGTTGACACAGAGGCTAGGGATGCCCCCCGCCCCCCTCTACCCCTTTCTGTTCCCGCCATTCCTCTCCTTATAGATGTGACAGCCCCCTCCTCCCACCTACTTACCCCTCCCCCCCCCCTCTTCCCGAAACAAATTTCTCCCACTCAGTGCATTTGATACACCTCCCCGCTAACTGCAGTGGCACCTAAATAAGTTTATTCCGCGCTGGTTAGTCGTCGACGCTGGAGGCCCGCCTTCCCTTGCCCTCCTCCTCCCAGCTCGCTTCTGCGCCCCACGACCCCCACGACTGTGGTTCCGTTCTCCATTCTCTGTCGTCACAAAGCGAGTGGACGGCGTTCTAGGGCCTCCTGGCAAATTGCTTGCCCTTTTTGTGCCATGGTTAATTGTGTCGCTGTTTTCTCCGCGTTCATGGGCTTCCCCCTTCCTCCTACATCGGCTGGTCGGCCGCCCCGCCCCGCGCCACGCCACAACAATCCCAGCGCCGCGTCACAGCGCCGCCCTGCGTGTCGCCTCACACCCACAAAACCGAAAGAAAACACAGAAAAACAAGGAGGGGGTAACAAGTTAAGCGGCCCCTACAGTGACCGAGAAATACAAGTGAACTCTGCGGGGACGAAACTCAATCAGGATATAAATAACTCATCGTTACCTCAAATCACCAACTATACCAGGTGGCTGATTCACCCCGCACACTTTTGTACTATGCAACCCGCCCGCACGGCTCCAGCCGGGACTGCATACCCACCAGGCGCTGGGGACCGGCTCCAAGCGCCAGCGCGTCTCTCCGCCCTGTTGTTGCAGCCACCTGGGGCTGGGGCGTTACAAAGGGGTTGTTCGCGGTTTCTAGAGGGTTCCCGCGAGTCCGCGGGGGTAACTCGCGATATCGCGGGGGTAAATCGCGGGTCCGCGGGGGGTGACTTGCGGGTCACCGTCACCGTCATCCGGGTCCGATGGTTGGGATTGGGACTGGAGCGCCGTCATCACCGTCATCGCTGTCCGCCGTCATCATACTGGGCGCAGTTTTCGTCCTCATGATGTTGCAATTGAAATATGCGTGCAACGACTATGTCGACTAGGAAAGCCATTCTCAAAGACCGTGCATTGTGAATCACCGACTATGATAAACAGATTTGTTAAAATCAGTATGGCAATGAAGCTCATGGGGGTGACAATTTCTTCGGTAATTTTGAAAGCCGATTCCCGTACAGCTAGAGGGACAGAACTGTTATGTCAGCAGTTGTAAATGAAGTGCAATGGGGAATGAAATGTGCGCGTTCCCAAGTACCGGGTGTCCGTAAGAAAACGCGGCAGCTCGATGGGTTGCCTACGCACTAGCGTGCAGGCGCGGAAGGCGAGGGGGGAGCGATGGAGGTGCGCACCATCCAGCGAATGCCGAACAGACTATAGAGGCGCCGTTTAGGACCAAACTATTTTTCAAAGAATGTGAAAAAGAGGGAGTACCCACCACACTTTTACACGGGGCCCCGCATGCTCAACTTCGGAGTTCGGATGGGATCCGGTGTGTCCACGCCAGCAGCCAGACTGTTAGGTCCGACCAACTGTTGACCGGTGTTGTCGCCTACCCGCTTAAACAGGAACGACGGGTACCCAAGGGAGTACTTTCCTCATCCCACCGCAGTAGTTAGCGAACTGTGGTCTCTGTTCCGAACAGCCGCTCCCAACCGCAGTGGTCAGAACATACTCCCGGGGTTTGTGAGACGGTTGAAGCGAACGTCGGCTAATCGTACTGACCCACCATAGGTCATGGAGCCCTTTTCAGCCAGTTTCTAGGTCTTATTATCCACCCCGCTACCATAGCAAGGTGGCAGGCACCAGGGCGCGAACCCCGGCCCAGAGCCGACACTTTAGCCACCATGACGCAGTGCCACCAACAATGGTAACCACTACGCCATCGGAATTCCACGAGAGGGGCGTGGTGAAATGACGGGTTTGAAGTCCATTTGAAATTTGGTGGCCTGAGAAAAAGTTCAGACATAGGGAGAGTCGAAGGCCAGCGAGCGCGCTACCGACTGAGCCATAGAGGCGCCATACGGTCTAGCGCTCCAGGGAACGAATCATTCTACGCTGTCGCTGACTGGCGTCGCTCCTTGTCTCCCGTAATACAGGACCGACTTTGAACGCGAAGTGGG